TTTTTTTTTTTTTTTTTTTTTTTTTTTTTTTTTTTTTTTTTTTTTTTTTTCTTTGCTCACAAAGGCGGCAATATGTCCTCTACTTGTACGCGGTCGTTTGAAGAATTCATTTTCTCATACGGAGCTTTCTTTCAATAGTAATTTTAATTAGTCAGTATATATATATATATATATATATTCAAGTAAAGTTAGATTTACTTTCATGAAATTAATTTTTTTTAATATGAAAATAAAAAACTCTACACGTGTTTTTAGAGTAATATTAAAGACAAAACTACGTATTATTGTTTAAGACAACTATATATACCGACAGACAAATATGAAGATCCTACATTATCTATTATCTATTAAATTAGAGACGTCTATATTACTCGTGGAGTTGGAGACTTGTCGGAATCGAAAGGGAATTCCCTGTTTAGACTGTAAATGAGTGTAAATGAGTGAGAGAGGAACATTATTTATGGATCTAACAAATTGTGTTGGTGACGAAATCATATTTCTATTCCCACCCTACTTAATTATATGTCTTTTATATATATTAAAAAGATAAAATAATTAAATTTGAGATCATAATTATAATATTTAGTATAAGCATTATGGTGTATATTTTTTTTTATCGTTATATATATTATGACGTAATATTAAAATTAAAATATTTTAAAAATAGGTAGGCAAAATTATATTACAAAAATTAGAGTAATTATTTTTAAAAGAATAACAAATAAGAACTTTTTTCATGAAATCTAATAATTTTGGCTAATTAATACCGTTTTGGTCCATCAAAAAATAAATGAGAAATTTGGTCCCACCCAGCTCACATCTATATTCTACAGACAATTATTATTTTTTTGGTATATATAAAATAAAAAGAAAAATAAAAAAGAAAAGGAACAAACGGGAAGTTATCGGCGTTGGGATGCGTGCTCATAGCGTCTGTCTTGAGGATTGTTAGTTCGGCAGCAAGTCAGCCCATCAATTCATTATTCAATTCTCTCTCTCACTATGTTAAAATCCCATCGCATTACCCATAACCTCAACCGTCACAGCTTCATCTGCTCTCCATTTTCTTCCACCTCTCTCCGCATCTTTTTTGCTCCACTTCCTTGCCAATGGCGAATTCCACCGATTCTCCCCTCAAATCCGACGCTCTTTTGGAGCAGTTGAAGCAGTATCTCACCACCGATGCCGGGAAACAGGTCGTCAAGAACATCGGCCATGTTTACCAGATCAATATTTCCCCCAAGGTCATCTTCCTTTCTCTTCTATGATTTTATTATTTTTCTCCGGAGTATTGAAGCTCTTGAATCTGAATTGAATTATTGGCAGAAAATTGGAACTGATGAGGTTGTTTATACCATTGATCTCAAGAAAGGGGAGGTTACCAAAGGTTAGGGCTTTTAATTTCTTCGATTCGGTGCCTTTTCTGGTTTTATACGATGGAGTGATGTCTAAACCCCTGTACTCTGTCTCCTTTCAATTTTGTTTTTGAGCAATCGAAGGATGAAGGAAGTTTAAAATCCACTTCCACTGGTTTTAGGTTATGGTGAAAGGTAGATTTATATCCTAAGCTTAATGCCTTGTGTTCGAACTGGTATTTGACTATGAATATCAATGTCACGACGAGGCATCAAAAAATTCTTAGAAGTACATTTTCGCATCACAACCATCGATTGTCAAATGTATTTTTCATCTTCTTGGTACCAAATAGCTATCTGGCATTGCGTGTTTATATGCTTCGGCTGGAAAATTGAGAAAAGAATTATGATTGTTTTGAGCTCAGGTCCATACGAAGGAGGAAAGCCTGACGCCACCCTATCCTTCAAGGATGAAGATTTCATTAAAATTGCTTTGGGGAAGATGAATCCTCAGATGGCTTTCCTCAGGTACTCATAATTCACTGATTATATCATCTTTAGGAGTCTGCTTTTTCCTTCTCGCACAAGTGCTTATGTATTTAGAGTGAATTTTGCATGACTTTGAAGTAAAAGATGTTTGTAATCGGTTAGAAATGCTTTTCAAGTTTATCATGATGTTTAGTTCATGAATAAGACTTTTGAGTGTAGTACGTTAAGTGAGACGCTTTTTGGTAGAAATGCTGATTAGGTGCTTCCTCCAGAAGTACTTCAGAGTTTCTTTTGGTGTTCTTAGAACTTTGAAATTCACTTTTGACTATGCAGCCAAGCACTAGGATAAACTTGAAGTGCTTTTAATGGTCTTAAAACGATTTTCACCATCTTAAAACTCATATTAAACTTTCTCTATAAGAGCTATTGAAAATTGCAGACATACTCGAAGTATTTCCTTCAGAAGTGCTTATTGTACACTTTTATTCGAAAAAGTCATCCGAAACTCACTATTATTTTGCATAAACTCTGTAAACTCTACAGGGGCGCACTGAAGATCAAGGGGAGTATTAGCGCAGCACAGAAATTCACTCCCGACATTTTCCCCAAGCCTGCAAAGTTATGATCAGATTCAAGGGGGAAACTGCTGTTCATGAAGCAGCTCCACGATGTCCGGGTTGTGAGATTTATGGGAATTTAGACAAGAAAGGAAATAGAAAAAGGAAGAAAGTTCTAAATCAATAAATTCAGTGTCAAAGTATTAGTCCAATTCTGTTGTAGAATATCATAACAAGTTGGGAACTATACTTCCATATTTAATGTTCAAATCATCTTCTCTTGTGCAATACGGCGCCAACTTTTGGAAAGGCCTGACGTACAGGTACAACTCAACTCATAGAATTGCTCTTTAAATTCTGTTATTCTCGTCTTCTTTTTCCAAATAGGTTTATATATACGTATGTTGCATTTGTTTTCTCCGAGTTGCTATTGCTTAGAACTATCAGCTCTTTTTTATGTCAATGTCATGCTTTTGTGCTTTTACCATTCATGCTTTATGTCATATTCTCCTGCAAATTCGTTTGTTTTTGGTCCATCTTTTGTGGCTGCAAGCTTTCTTAACATGTAAAGTGCAGGCTTTGGCTTTAGTGGGATCAGATTAAGGTGATGACCTCTCATGAACCATTTCTGTAACTCTACACAATCCAAATACATATGGTATAAATCTAGACCTCGATCAATTCCAAGCTACATAAATTTCACACTTGAGTTATATATAAGTCTACTATATTATCAAATTGCATGGATTGTTGGCTTCCGTTGTGCCTCCCTCAATCAGCATTAAACTCTCTTTAAGGTCCATTTAACAGTTCGAAGCACCCTTCTAGGGGTCTTGTAACCGTCCAAGTCCGGTCCAAGCTAGCTAGTAGATATTGTCTATCTTTGGGTTTTTTGTTTTAGGTTTTCCCTCTATTTTTAAAATGTCTCTTAGAGAGAGATTTCCACATGCTTATAAGAAATGCTTATCAGAAATGCTTTGTTCTCGTCTCCAACCTATGTAAGATTTCACAATCCACCCTTCTTGGGGGTCCATCATCCTCGCTGACGCCCTACTTGGTGTATTTATAACAGCTCAAGTCCACCGCTAGCAAAAATTGTCCTCTTTGAACTTTCCCCTTCGGACTTCCCTTTAAGGTTTTTAAAACACATCTGATAGGGAAAAGTTTCTATATCTTTATGAAGAATGCTTTATTCATATTTCATATATTTTTACTTGATCTTGATTTCGCTAGGATTGATGGGCTCTTGGTTCATAGGAATGAGAGAGGTAGGAATGAGAATGGGAAACAGCTTATTATCAACTTGTTGCAAAAGAGGTTTTCAACCTTTGGAATGGGAACGATCTTATTCTAAACCATTTTAGAGGGTCATCAATAGAGCTTTCCATATCCTCATTTTAGTGGGGTTTCTCCATTTCCAAAAATTTTACTCACTTTTACACTTTTTTTCTTTTCGTTTTACATTTGTTTTCTGTTTTTTTTTTTTTCTGTTACTTAATTAAATTAATTTTTATTGATGTGTTTAACCTAAATTTATAATTTGTATGAGTACATGATAATCGATTTCAAAATAATATATTAAATGTAATTAAATTTTATTGTCAAGAATGTATTAATTATATTAATTATTGTATTGTAATAAACTAGCATGAATCAAAGTGGATACATTAATTAGTTGACCGATAATTTTATTGCTTATACTTAACATTGATTAGTTCATTAATTAGCTCCATAAATATGTAGAGAAAAAGATATCATTAATTTATAAAATAAGGAACAAAATATATTATAATCACGAAGATCAATTTAGGATATTGTCACCTTTAAAATTGCATCCATTAACAAGATGTGGATGAATCACGAAAGCTTAAGTCGAGAATGGAATATGGGCCGAAATCTGAGCCCAAAGTAAAGTCCAATAAGTTAAAGCCCACAGAAGTTGGATGAGGCCTGATCTTTACATAAGAGTTCAATCTGTTGCAAATCTGAGCCCAAAAGTAAGGCCCACAGAAGTTGGATTAGGCCTGATCTTAATATAAAAGTTCAATCAGTTGCAAATCTGAGCCCAAAAGTAAAGCCCACATACGTTGGATTAGGCCTGATCTTAACATACGAGTTCAATCAATTGCAAATCTGAGCCCAAATAAAGCCCAATAAGATAAAGCCCACAGAAGTTGGATTAGGCCTGATCTTACATAAAGAGTTCAATCAGTTGCAATTCTGAGCCCAAAGTAAAGCCCAATAAGTTAAAGCCCACAGAAGTTGGATTAGGCCTGATCTTAACATAAGAGTTCAATCAGTTGCAAGGGAAAGGCAACGGGTTATTGGCGGTAACCTTTCTGAGAGAAGAACCCTAAAAAAGGTCACGACAGAACGAAGAGCTCCAAGAATTTCAAATTTCGAAATTGGCGCCTCTTCATTTCTACGTCTCCATCTGTCCTCTGGATTCTGAATTTCCTTACATTTGATTCGATCTGCATTCCACAGAGCTTGAGTTTCCCGTCGATACAACTCGGGCGTTGACAATGGGAGCCTCTCAAAGTCGCGAGGGTCTGGAACTGTCGGACTCCGATCGTGAAGATGGGAACGAGGAAACCAATAAGAAGGAGGTGAAATACGAGGATGTTGAAGAAGAGCTCCAAAGATCTTCAGAACGACGGCAGAAAACGCCATCGTCAGTGGACGAGGTGGAGGCGAAGCTCAGGGCTCTCAAGCTCAAGTACGGATCGTCTCAGAAGCCAAACATAAAGAACGCAGTGAAGCTTTACCTTCACGTTAATGGCAATACTCCTAAGGCGAAATGGATTACCTCTGAAAATCTTACTACTTACTCTTTTCTCAAGGCTTGTAGTGGCAATGATGACGAAGAGGAGGAGGATGATGACGAGGAAGAGGAGGAGGAGGATGACGACTCTTGGTGGTTTTTGAAGGTTGGATCGAAAATTAGAGTGAGAGTATCGTCAGATACGCAATTGAAAACGTTCGGAGACCAGCGGCGTGTGGACTTTGTTGCGCAGGGTGTCTGGGCATTGAAATTTTTCAGCGATGAAGATTATAAGATTTTTGTGGAAAAATTTCAGGCCTGTTTATTTGAGAATACATATGGATTTGAGGCTACGGAGGCGAATAAATTGAAGGTTTATGGCAAGGATTTTATTGGTTGGGCGAATCCGGAAGTGGCGGATGATTCAATGTGGGAAGATGCGGAGGAGAGTTTCTCAAAGAGTCCAAATTCGGCAACGCCTGTCAGGGCAAACGATTTAATGGAGGAGTTTGAGGAAGCTGCAGACGATGGGATTAAGAGTTTAGCTTTAGGTGCATTAGAGAACAGTTTCTTGGTTGGCGATTCAGGAATTCAGGTCGTCAAGAACTTTTCTCACGGAATTCAGGGAAAGGGTATTTATGTGAATATTGATAATGGCAATCGGGATACTCGTGGAGCTGGTTCTAGTTTGGCCTACTCAACGCCGAAGAAGGCACTTCTTATGAAAGCTGAGACTAATATGCTTTTGATGAGTCCCATAAACGAGGGGAGGCCTCACACTTCTGGACTTCATCAGCTTGATATTGAAACAGGGAAAATTGTTACTGAGTGGAAGTTCGGGAAGGATGGAGTTGATATTTCAATGAGGGATATTACTAATGATTCTAAGGGGGCTCAGTTGGATCCTTCGGGCTCGACATTTTTGGGTTTGGATGACAACTGGCTTTGCAGATGGGATATGCGCGATAGGAACGGAATGGTCCAAAATCTTGCTACTTCTAGCGCTCCTGTCTTAAATTGGGCTCAAGGGCATCAGTTTTCTAGAGGAACCAACTTCCAATGCTTTGCAACCACCGGCGATGGCTCAATTGTTGTTGGGTCGCTTGATGGAAAAATCAGGCTGTATTCTGTCAATTCTATGAGACAAGCAAAAACAGCTTTTCCAGGACTTGGTTCACCTATTACACATGTAGATGTTACCTACGACGGGAAGTGGATTTTGGGAACAACAGATTCCTATTTAATTCTTATTTGTGCTATCTTTACCGATAAGGATGGGAAAACAAAGACTGGATTTTCTGGTCGAATGGGGAACAGGATTTCAGCTCCAAGATTGTTGAAGCTGACCCCTCTGGATTCACATTTAGCTGGAGTTGACAACAAGTTTCGAAATGCTCAATTCTCATGGGTATGTTTGTTTCTTGTCTTCTCAATTTGTCAGGAATAATCTGAAAGTTTTTGTGTTGTTCTAACTCTTAATTTACTTGACCTATATGCATTGCATGTCTTCTTGCTAGATGACTTTATGCCTTTTTTATAATGATTTTGTCTCTGATAGGTTTTGTTATCTTTTGGGATTTTTTTTCTATATTTGTTTGTGGCATTGAAATTTCAAGTCTCAATGAGCAGCAGGGTAGGATGGTTGAACATTTCATGATCTAGTTGCTGCATGCAAGGCATGAGCAGATAGCTAATCTTGATGTGTGAATTTAGTTTTGTTTTAACATCGTGCTGCATTTTGAAAGAAACTTATTATTCAATATTTAGTTTCATTTTTGGCTGACATGTACTTTTGAGTGAGGGCTTAGTGGGCAGTTGGTGCTAGTATGTTTGAGCCTCCACTATATTGTTATTGCTTTAGGTATACATGTGTTGTCTTATATGATTATTATCTCTTTTTCTTATCAGCTGCAAAAGCAATGATGTTCCATCTGTTTCCTTGCTTGTCCTTTTGTATCATTTATTTTCTTGTCTATATAACCTTTTCCCCTGTTTGTTCTGCCAAATCAATCGATTCTCCATCCTTTTCTTTCATTGGTCATGCAGTGTTGTCACAATATACCATGTCTTTTGAGATAACAAAGTCAGTCCCATTGAAGAAAGGAAGATAAAGCCATTTATTAACTCATTGATAACATTTTATAATTTAAATAGCCATGCCATCGATACATAACCAATGTTTGTCTTAGTACTTTGAGTTGGATTAATAATTTAGTGGAGTTCACAATGCCTAGGCATTTAGGCATTTAGGTGACTAAATCTTGCTTTGCAATTTCAAAGAGTGCATTTAGTACGTGTTCACCCTGAACAAATTTATGCACCAAAAACTTTCCATAATAGCGTTTGCACATAAGTTCGTCCTTATTGTTATCCTGTGATTTGTTTTGTTATCTCAAACGGTCTGCAAGTTTTGTGCAGCTCTCTTTTATCAGTCTTCAAATTTTCTTTTGTACTATTTTTACATTTTCATTATTATTGCCATAGGTCACCGAGGACGGGAAGCAGGAGCGCCATTTGGTCGCGACCGTAGGCAAGTTCAGTGTCATCTGGAACTTCCAACAAGTGAAAAACGGGACACACGACTGCTACCGCCATCAGGAAGGCCTCAAGAGTTGCTATTGCTACAAGATTGTTCTTAAAGACGACTCCATTGTTGATAGTCGTTTCATGCACGAAAAATTTGCAGTTACCGATTTGCCCGAAGCTCCATTGGTGATCGCAACGCCCATGAAGGTTAGTTCCTTAAGCATATCCAGTAGGCTAAGAGACTGAGATTCAGTTCCAAGCATAGCATATACTCGGTACAGGTTCCATTGCATTGCCTGATGCACAGTTAATCAGCTACGTTTCTAAGTGGCATGTTTAGGACCCTTATAGATGCCTTAAAGTAGTTTTAAACATCTGTCGATGAGTTCCCTAATTTGTATTCCTATTTCGAGTTCCTTAATGACTCTCTACTTTTTTCATCAATTGTAATGTTAAGGAAGCCAAATATAATCTCAACGACATATAATCTTAAATGAAAAATTAGTTATTTTTATAACTTAGCCTTTTATGAAGCTGCTGATAAAAATCCAACTCTTTTTCTAATCAAACTCGCAGAAACTTGTAAGCCTTTACATTATACACGACAATGTCACGGAATAACCTCACCATCCAAAAATCAAAATGTAGAAACTTATAACACCTTGCAAAGCCCATGGTGCAACGTTTTTTTTTTTTTTTTTTTTTTTTTTT